TACAAAATTAGGCAAATGATGTGAAAAACCACATCTATATTAGAGGAGTCATAAATGTTGCACTCACCTGGCTACATCCAAGAAATATCCTTTTGGAGGGATAACCTGACCACCACATGACTGCAACGCTTCTGCGAAGTAGGCAGCTATCTTTCGACCTTTGGATTCCGCCTAAAAGAGTAAGTTTTTGAATTGATATTTTATGGCACTAAGAGCTTCCCATTACTACAGGAAAACGAACTAAGACTATAAAGCTAATTAGTTATCGCCTTCGCCGTCGTAATGATGGGAAAATCGCTATAGCCCTCTCATTCCCTTAGGGCCAAACTAGAGCTATACTAAGTTGTTATCGCGTCTCTCACTCAAAATTAGTCAACAGCCTTATAGAACTATCATTATCCCATTAGCAAGAAAATTCTCTCAATCAATTATATTCAGGAACTTAATTCTACACTAGCTCTATCCTGCCTTGACTGAAGTAGAGTAATAGAAATTTCTGTAACCTTCCCAACATTTTCTAGAAGGAGAATGAGTTTCACTGCAGAATGATTAAAATTATTCACTAATTTGTTTGAATCTCAAGATCATCATAGATTTTATTCGTTATTGTTTTGTACGCTCTTATTATTTCTATCTAATCTTGAGCCAAAAACTTGTAAAACTAACCTTCTCCACAATTTTCTTCACAGCATCTGAGTAATAAACTCCAGCCTCTATCAACTTTTCTTCATTATCCAAATCTTCATCAGCCAGGCGATACTCTCCGCGATACACGTCTGGGCATGGAGCCTAAAGCACTGCTCATAGGTCTTCCTAAGCCCAACATTGAGAAAAAGACTCTAGTTAAAGAAATAAATGACCTACCACGTGTACCCATTCCGGTTGTGGCAGGGATGAGCCATGATCAAATTTGTACGGGGACATTTGCATTGTTGTTGTTACATGTCCATGATACGCACTGAACTTTTGTTATCCAAAAAGATCTGATCAGAAAGAAAAGGTTTATTTAGATGTTGTTTGCGAAGATCTGGGTTACAAAACTTAGACTGCAATTTTTATAAGCATTTCAAATATAAGCTGTGCTTACGTAAGACCTTACATATAACCCACTGGTCCGTACATGCTTTCACCTGGACTAGACAATCATAAAAGTGCTACGCGGATTATTTGGAATTTGATCTTGCCTCAAATTTTATCTAATTGTCTAATTCTTAAGCTATAGCATATTTCGCTTTAGACGTGGACACTTTTGCGTTCTTTCAAAACTAAGAAACAGAACTCACTGATCGATGACGATAGCATCTGTATGTCCGGTAAAATCACGAGCTAATCGAAGCGCTAGGTCGTTTGCTTCAGATCTGAAAGGACAGGATTAGCGATATCGCAGATGTTGTTAAGTCAGATAAGTTTGTGCATCCTACAACATTCTTGGAGGTATTATCTCATTTTTTGCGGGCCAGAAGGAGAGTTGGGGAATTAATCAGTCTTAAATTGTATTCCCCTAGGTCAACGTAACAAGTAAGGGAATGTACAGATTGAACTTAGGTTAAAAATTTCTACATGATAAAGTATCAGGAGATGTTTGAAGAAATGGTATTCTATCGCTTCTAGTGATAAAATCATGATTAGAGCCAGTACAAGACTAAGAACAAAAAGAACATACCCAGAGTTGCAGAACAGGACAGTGTCAAGTCCTGGAAGTGTTTTCAACAGCTCCTCTGCGCAATCGGTCAGTTTTTGGCTGACAAAGCGCACATTGCA